GTTCTTTCCCAAGGCAGAGGCAGAGGCAGATGTTCCTCTCAGTCTCGCAGTCGGGAAAGGCAGATGAGCACTCTAGATCTGGATGATGTTTTACCTCAAAGTTGTTAGGTGAACTCAAGGCATTTTAGTTGTAAACTATTGTGGTTGCATGGAAAAGCACATTCTGGAGCGCATAAAGCCCGTCTGTTGGCCGTGTAGTATTCATAGACCGCAGTGCTGGGGTGAGATAGCAGTTCAGCAGAAGCATATTTATGCCATCTGCCAGTCTTTAAACATTCAGATCTGCTCTGAACATTCAGCCATAAAGCAGCTCTGCTGTCTATTTTTCACTCTGGCTTCTGCCTTTTTCAGGTTTTTGAATAATGTGCTTGATTTGGAGTTTCTCCAAGTTAATGCAGTTATTTTTTTTCCCCCCTCTCTTTTTGGGTTGTGTAGTCAGTGAGTTTAGTTGAGGGAGGCACAGGGCTAATTTAGACACTGCTTGCTCTGAAAATCACATAATGACATCCTGAAAAGAAAGCGAGATGGCCACACCAGAGCCTGCGGTTAACACAGATATTTTTCCAGACAGCACTGGGCCCATCCTCCTCCCCTGCCTTTACTGCTTAGTATTCAGGGCCCAAAATGAACACTCACTAAGTGCCAATATGTTTTGGCTTTGGCAAGTAAATAAAACTGGCCGATAATTTTAGGAAGGAACTGCAGCGTTATAAATTCAATGCAAAACTTCTTAATCAGTTTACATTTTTTTTTTTTACCATCCTTTAGTCATTTGATAAAAGGCACAATATACATTGAAAATACAGTATATATTTCATTAAATTATTTCATTTTTTGTCCTAATTGATCCGGCTTTTTTAAATTTATCGTGTTTTAGGGATATTTGTCTGTGTCATGATTCTGCCTTCTTGTCTTTGATTTTCTCTAGTCGTGAGGCAGGATCATGACAGAATCATGTTTTGTGTGCAAGCGCATGGCCTGTTTGGGCCATGTGCTTGTGTTGTCTCGTTTCTTTACTCCGCCCCCTTGTTATCCTCGTCTCGTCATTATTGTCTAGTCAGTCTCACCTGTCCTCGTCATTAGTGTTCCCTATTTAATCCCCTTATGTTTGTGTTCCACCACATCCCAAAGATGCTCTATTGGGTTGAGATCTGGTGACTGTGGGGGTCATTTTAGTACAGTGAACTCATTGTCATGTTCAAGAAACCAATTTGAAATGATTCAAGCTTTGTGACATGGTGCATTATCCTGCTGGAAGTAGCCATCAGAGGATGGGTACATGGTGGCCATAAAGGGATGGATATGGTCAGAAACAATGCTCAGGTAGGCCGTGGCATTTAAACGATGCCCAATTGGCACTAAGGGGCCTAAAGTGTGCTAAGAAAACATCCCCTGCACCATTACACCACCACCACCAGCCTGCACAGTGGTAACAAGGCATGATGGATCCATGTTCTCATTCTGTTTACGCCAAATTCTGACTCTACCATCTGAATGTCTCAACAGAAATCGAGACTCATCAGACCAGGCAACATTTTTCCAGTCTTCAACTGTCCAATTTTGGTGAGCTCTTGTTGTCAAGTACCGGTGGGGTCTTCTGCTGTTGTAGCCCATTCACCTCCAGGCTGTGGCTTCACAAACGCTTTTCTGCATACCTCGGTTGTAACGAGTGGTTATTTCAGTCAAAGTTGCTCTTCTATCAGCTTGAATCAGTCGCCCCATTCTCCTCTGACCTCTAGCATCAACAAGGCATTTCCGCCCACAGGACTGCCACATACTGGATGTTTTTCCCTTTTCACGCCATTCTTTGTGAACCCTAGAAATGGTTGCGCGTGAAAATCCCAGTAACTGAGCAGATTGTGAAATACTCAGACCGGCCCGTCTATCACCAACAACCATGCCACGCTCAAAATTGATTAAATCACATTTCTTTCCCTTTCTGACATTCAGTTCAGGAGATTGTCTTGACCAGGACCACACCCCTAAATGCATTGAAGCAACTGCAATGTGATTGGTTGATTAGATTATTGCATTAATGAGAAATTGAACAGGTGTTCCTAATAATCCTTTAGATGAGTGTATATAGATATATTACCAATGCCATTATTATAGTGTGGAATAGAGTGCATTTTCATAACTTTGTTAGTATGTAGGCCTACTTGTGTGTTTTCAGTGTGTGAGCACGACAGTTGTTTGCTTCTGTGTGTTGGTGTATGTTAAGGACGCATTAAATCCCATCTGCTACAGCAGTACAGTATGTCAGTTTGCTGCTTTTGAGACTCGTGTGGGGCTCTCTGTGCCTGCGAGGGTGCTATTATTCTGTCTTGTTGGAGTTCTCTGTGTGAACATGCCGCAAAGGGCCCTCATGTTCATGCAATGTGAGTCAGTGTGTGGAGCGCTTGCATATTATCTGGTGGCAGAGAGAAAACGCTGCATTTTATCCTCAGATTCCCTGAAGCGTAAGTAGGGAGTCAGAGCGCTGGAGCTCATTTCTGACCCACCAGAACAAGATACATACTGTAGATAGATGGATAGATGGGAGTACATTTAGACCTGCTATAATAATTTGTATTATTTTGCAAAGTTATTAACATTTTTAGATGCATTTCCCACGAATTATATTATTTTTAACCCTGAAAAGCCATTATTGCTAATATAAATATGGTACAAATGGTAATCATTCTTAATGGAGTAAGGTAATTGTGCTTTCTCATTTTCTTTGTTTTTATATTTAAGTGTATTTTTACATCTTTGAAAAATCTTTGCGTCTTTAAAAAGCTTGATCCTGGTCTCTATTTACTGCCATTGTATGGATGAGAGTGAGCAGGACTTTTTTTTTTTTTTAATTATGACATTAAAACATCACCAGGGTGAGTAAAGGATGACTCCATTTTTGTTTTAGGGTGAACTATCCCTTTAAAGCTAGTCTGCCAGAATATGTGCTGTTTTGATACTGATCAGTAAACCAGTAAATGTGTCTGTCTTTTCTTTTCTGATTTTTCTAGGATCATTATTAGGCTACAGTACTGTTGGCACTCTTTATAATGCTATCACTCACACAAACAGTCCCAAAAGCTGATGGATTATAGAGTTGTTCAGGTTTATCTGGAACCAAAGCTGCAGTCATGAGTACATTATCCTCCATAATAAAGACTTGTTGAAGTTGAGCAGAGATGGCTATTGTGTCAGAGCTGCTGTCATACAGTGATATCTAGAGCTCTTTATTTAGTTCAGGCCTGTGGAGATGTTCTCTGTGCCTCCATCAGAGACTTGTTTGGCCACAAATGGCTTACAGAATGATGCAGTGAAAATCTATGTCAGGCTTTCTTTATGTCCATGGAGTGTGTGAAGGAGATACATGGTCTGTTTCAAAACCTATTGAGGTGTCTAGCTGTTTACAGTCTATAAAGGAAACTTTCTTCTATGGCATCTTAAATATAAATGTGACTGATTTGGACAGCTTGCTGTGTCATCAAACAACTCCTTGCAATTGATTTCAATAGAATTTGGTGTCAGCATGTGCTAAGCTAATGACATTATACACAGAAAATACAAATATTGGCCTTGGGTAAACATATTTAGTGAAAATACACTTATTTCTTGTAACATTTAATTGACTTTTTAAATCTCAATGAGAAAAGATACAGACCATAAGCTTGAAGCTTATCTCCACATAGTAAACGAACATGAGAAATGTTTAAACTCATTTTGCCTTTATTTCCTCCTATTGTTCTGCATTGAGGGTTTGTGAAGTGGCGTTCAAACGTTTGGGGTCAGAAAGTTATTTTTTTAATGGATGCACCGATATGAAAGTTTTGGCCGGTATGAAAACCTATAATAGCTAAATCTTTATATTTAAAAGCCGATAACCATTATATTTGCCCATAAATCTACATTTTTAATAATTTTTGAGAGCCGGATTACAAAAAAACTTGATTAAATTGATCCAAAATCACAATAAATACATGCAAATACTTCAAAACATGTCAAATAAATGATCTTCTTTTGAAATTTATATTAATTGAACAATCCAGAAAATGTTTTTTCAACATTAATAAGAATGAGAAACTAATTTTCTTAAAGGAATACTCCACTTTTTTTGGGAATAGGCTAATGTTACAACTCCTCCAGAGTTAAACAGTTGGGTTTTACCATATTCAAATGTATTCAGATGATTTTCTGATATTTATAAGAATATCAGTAACCAGACAGTTTCTGGTCTCATTGAATTTAAATGATCTTCTTTTGAAATTTATATTAATTGAACAATCCAGAAAATGTTTTTTCAACATTAATAAGAATGAGAAACTAATTTTCTTAAAGGGATACTCCACTTTTTTTGGAAATAGGCTAATTTTACAACTCCTCCAGAGTTAAACAGTTGGGTTTTACCATATTCAAATGTATTCAGATGATTTTCTGATATTTATAAGAATATCAGTAACCAGACAGTTTCTGGTCTCATTGAATTTGATAGTATATTTTTTTCCTACTATGAAAGTCAATGAGACCAGAAACTGTCTGGTTACTGATATTCTTCTAAATATCAGAAAATCGACTGAAAGGATTCAAAAATGCTAAAACTCAACTGTTTAACTCGGATTTGTAAAATGAGCCTATTTCAAAAAAAGCGGAGTATCCCTTTAAGTATCACATCAGCATATTAGAATGATTTCTAAAGGGTCATGTGACACTGAAGACTGAAGAAATGGCAGCTGAAAATGTAAAGCATAATAAGATCTAAATGTGTGTGCTGTAGTGAAGGCCTGTCTCTGTGGTGTGTCTAGGTGTGTGTGTGCACAGTTGTACGCTGATTGCCTTGGTTGCGATCTCATTAAACAACTAATGAGCTCATTCTGTGTGTTAGCAACACATACTCCCATGTGTTCTTCCTCTCAAATCTATACAGATGTTTTCTATATCAGTAACAGCCTTAAAACATTCACTTATTATATGTATATTTTGGCAGCTAACAGTGTTTCCTCATGATATGTTTGCAGGTGTTTATCACACTGAGAGACTCTTCCGGGCCCTGAAGCCGCCTCCTAAGTACGTCACCAATCATCACTGGAGTACCACCACCTAGACAGGTACCAGCCAATCCCTGCAGCTCATCTCTCTCATGACCAACACAGCAGACATTATTACGACTCCGCACGCAGTAACATGTCTTATGCAGCACTTCTGGTCTTTTATATATACATATAAAAAAACTGTCATACACTCTTGTTTCAACCCAAATTTGGGTCAAATATGGACAAACATAATTGTAATTGTAAATGTAATTTAAAATTTTAACCCAACTTCGACTTTCACTTTCAACTGTCATTTTTTAAATTACATTTTTAACCCAACATTTGGGTTTTTTCCTATTTGACCCAAATTTGGGTTCAAACAACATTTTTTAGAGTGTACATTTCAAATGTCTTTCTTCTGCTGAACACAAAGGAAGATATTTTGAAGAATGTGTGTAACCAAACAGTTGATGTACCCCATTGACTTTCATAACTGGGGTAAAAAACTACCAAAATTTGGTTACCAAAATTGTTCAGAAAATATCAAACTTTGTGTTCAGTAGAAGAAAGAAATTCATACAGGTTTGAAACAACTTGAGGGTGAGTAAATGATGAGAGAACTATTACTTTAAGGCAAGTTAGTCCACTCGACAGCCATTTTGGCAACAGCAGGGCAGCTATTTCTTATGCAGTATAAATATATATTCAATATAAGCAATATATAAAATCATAACAGAGAATTCCTTCCTTTTTAGGGATTGTCGGTCAATTTTACATTTTTTTTTTTTGCGTGCTTGTGATTTCATACACACTAATTCTTTTCTTACTTAATAGCAGTTGGACCCTGTCCAAAATGTCTCCCTCAGTCCTTGCATTTCAATTCCACATTTAGTAGTCTGGTGAAGTTTGCTCCAGTGTGGCCCCAGAGGGGGTGTTTGTGAGGAATAATCCCAAAAAAAAAACGTTTTAGGGAAGGTCAAAAGACCACAAGTTCATTTCAGATGGGCTATTTGGGACAGTGCCCTTGTCTCAGAGTCATGGTGCATTTTATCAGTCCAGTGGGAAACAGAGTCATGTTTACAAGTTCTCATGCTGATACAGTCTTATATCTGATTTCATATGTGATTGATTTACATGTTGACCAGACAGCTTTATCCTGTCCAGTCTGATGTCTAATTCACACTTTGCTAAGAAAACTATATTTTTGTTTGTTGGGTCAGTGTGAAGTAGCCTTATCATGGGTTTGGCAGTGCTTACCTCTTTTTCTTAAAAAAAAAAAAAGAGCAACATTCTGGGTTACACTAAAGCATTTACAATGGAAGTGAATTGGGAAAATTTGGAAAGTTAATGTTTCAGTGTTATTTATGTACTATTATAGTATTTATCAATATTGTTCACTTTCAACTGTAAATTACATTTTTAACCCAACATTTGGGTCTGTCCATATTTTACCCAAATTTGGGTTGAAACAACCCAGCATTTTTTAGTGTACTTGCATATATATATATATACATATTTCTATTTAGCCTTAAATTATTTAATTATTTTTACGTTTTTAATCTAATATTCAAATATTTTCTTTTATTTCAACTTGATTTCAATTAACAAAGAAAATAACAGTATAACCACAAGATGTAAAGAATATGTAATTGACTTTTTCCTATAAGTCATCCTATAAGTTCATTGTAGTCATATCCAGTTTCTTCATTGCCATGAGCATATAACCTTTAAACTTTAAACAAACTGTAGAAATGACAATAACTTCACAGCTCAAGTATAACACACATTTCAACCGAAGCAGTGCTTATATAAAAATGACAAGCTTCACATTTCAGTATTTAAATACAGAGCAATTTTACCCCATTAGTGAGTTGAAATAGCCTGGGTTTCCCCATGCTGCCTTGCCGCAGCGCGATTTTATTCCCTTATTTTTATTTCTATGAGGGCCGACAAGACAAAATAAGGACTGTCAAGTGTGTTTAAACAGTGCGGTACAGCAACCAAACCAGTAGCACTACCATTTTTGTAGCGCCGAAATCGGACCTTTCACTGATGTAATGACACAATGACGTGCACTTGCTTGCCTGTTTCATTTACGTGTCCTCCGAGTGCTAAAGAGTCTAGCCTCTGAAGGAAATGGCTTGGAAAGACCCGTCCTGCCAAGGAAGTATCCTTGACATTGAGAAACGCGTTTTGCGTATACATAAATCTCCTAAATCTCTGACCCATCGTCATCTTCATCGTCTGATTTTCTGTCGCTCTACGTACGTCATCTGGTATTATTGACCCGATTGGCTATGAGCTATGTACAGGCACATTTTTTTTTTAAAATATTTTTTATTTATTTATTTAAAGAGCCCCGATCATGGATTTTTGAAAATGACTGTTCATATGGTGTGGAATATAGCTCTAAGGGAATGAAAACATCCTGCAAAGATTTATATCTGAAAGTGCACCGTATATAAAGTTATTGTCTTTCAAAAGTGAGAGTCGACTCTGAGTCTATGAAATGAATTGTTTTTGAAACGAGTCATTAGCTGTTACATCATGACGTAGAGAGGTCATTGGCCGACGGAAGTGTAAACTTGAAGTCTACACATTGAAATACTTCATCATAGCATCATGTCGAGAAGACGCTGTGTTCTACAATGCAAAGATAGTTCAGCCTCTTTGTTTTCATTTACCAGGGACAAGCATGTGAAGAATCCGTATATTTGCAACGATACCATCATTTTAATCCCATATTAGCTTGTAGCCCTGAATTGTAAAACAGTGATATAATAGTTACAGTTGCAGATAGAGGTGGAGGGAATGTTTCCAGTACACAGGCGCTGCGAGTGGGTTGAGCGGGAGGCAGAGAGCCCTTCAAGCTGCTGATGAGCATGACGCACACCCGCAAAATACCAAAACAAAAGACAGTTAATAAGCAGTGCTTTGCTTTTCTCTCTGCTTGTTTTCATGTGAAGCTGCAGCAGAAGGGCTTTTCATTAGCCTTCCTCTCTTTTTGCTATTGAATGCACATCGGGCCCTCTGAGAGCCGTAAAAACTCGAAGGCTCTTCCAATCTAATGAATGTTTACATGTTCATGTTGCTGGGTAGGAAGTGGCTTGGCGGGTCTATGTTCCCGTGTGCGGACGCCCACACAGAGACGTGTCAAAGAGATGAGATTCCAGTCTTTTTGTTACTGGAACACGTGCAGCTGTTGTTTGGACATACTTGTTTACGTGTTAATAAACGTGCAATGCTCATTTACAAAATGCATTTGACCAATTTTCGCCAATATTAAAAGTCAGCCGTGAGTCACACATTAAAGGGATACTTCACTTTTTTTTTGGAAATAGGCTCATTTTACAACTCCCCAGAGCTAAACAGTTGAGTTGTACCGTTTTCGAATGCATTCAGCCGATTTTCTGATGTTTAGAAGAATATCAGGAACCAGACAGTTTCTGGTCTCATTGACTTCCATAGTAGGAAAAAATATATACTATGGAAGTCAATGGGACCAGAAACTGTCTGGTTTCTGAAATTCTTCTAAATATCAAAAAATCGGCTCAATAGATTCGAAAACGGTAAAACTCAACTGTTTAGCTCTCGGGAGTTGTAAAAGGAGCCTATTTCCAAAAAAAGTGGAGTATCCCTTTAAAGGATATTCAAGCGATTGTATTGCACTGTGTGAATGAAAATTTGAAACTAATTTGGCATCTACAGTATACACAAGACAGTTTAATAACTCTTTGTCCATTTCCGCTAGCGTAGAATCCTCCCCGCCGCACTAGCATCCATATTAAACCTGTAGGAAGTGCAGAGCAGTGAATGGTGTCACGACCACACTTATGCAAGCTTGTTTTTAACAGGTTTCACAGCAGATGTGTAATCTAGCCTGAAGGCTTTAATTGCATGTGTAAGATGCTGCCGCAGTATCATTCGTATCGCAGATTTCAATAGTCCCACTGTGAATTTTTAAACTGCCCGAGCTCCCGCAGAAAACAATAATAATTTCAAAATTAGAGGAAAGCTAGAGGGAAAACACAATAATGAGACTCAGATAGACACTTGTCATTCTCTTGTGATGAGTCATATGCAAGTTAACCAGATGAGTGATGTTACTGATGCTTGTCAAAAAATCCCAAAGGAATGCACAGAATTTCTAATGTAATATAAAGCCGGAAATATACTGTATAATATACTATTAAGAATCCTCTAAACATCTTCTAAGAATCTGAATATTCTGGACAAATATAATCTATGGTCCCCACACACTTTTACAACTTTTTGAGTGAAATGTGGAAGCTAAAAATGTACTAATATGTACATTTGAAGTGCTAATATGTACATTTTATGTGACAAAATATACATTTTAGGTGCTAATATGTACATTTTAAGTGTTAATAAGTACATTTAGGTGCTAATATGGACATGTTAGGTGCTAATATGCCAATTTCATGAGCTAATATGTCCATTTTAGGTGTTAATATGTACATTTTAGGTGGTAATATGTCAATTTTAGGTGGTAATATGTACATTTTAGGTGATAATATGTACTTTTTAGGTGCCAATATGTCCATTTCATGAGCTAACATAGGTGGTAATATCATTTCAATTTTAGGTGGCAATATCATGTCAATTTTAGGTGGTAATATGTCAATTTTAGGTGGTAATATGTACATTTCATGAATATGTCCATGCATTTTAGGTGTTAATATGTACCTTTTAGGTGGTAATATGTCAATTTTAGGAGTTAATATGCCCATTTTAGGTGGTAATATGTACATTTTAGGTGATAATATGTACATTTTAGGTGCTAATATGTCCATTTCATGAGCTAACATGTCCATTTTAGTTGGTAATATGTACATTTTAGGTGGTAATATGTCAATTTTAGGTGTTAATATGTACATTTTAGGTGCTAATATGTACATTTTAGGTGCTAATATGTCCATTTCATGAGCTAATATGTACATTTCAGGTGTTAATATGTAAATTTTAGGTGGTAATATGTCAATTTTAGGTGGTAATATGTACATTTAGGTGCTAACATGTACATTTTAGGCGCTAATATGTCCATTTCATGAGCT